CTCGCCTATCTCCACTAGCGCTGCCTTGGCCATCAGCATTTCGGACATGCCTTCCGAGCAACGCAAAGATGCTTGGATTTCTTCTCTTTTGGACTTTCTCTCAAACCGGACGCCCGCTCCAGTTTCCAGGACGCTTCGTCGTCAAGCAGGACACTTCGCTATTCGGGATAACCTGCTTTACCGCCGAAACTACAGCTCGATCGGCCGTAAGTGGTTGCTCGTCATCCCCCGACATCTGCGCTCTGACATCTGTGCCACGTTCCACGATGATCCGCAATGTGGCCACGCTGGTGTGTTGAAAACATACACCCGCTTGCAGCTGCGGTACTACTGGCGCGGTATGTACCGTTTCGTTCGCCGTTACGTAAGGTCTTGCCTTACGTGCCAGCGACGCAAAATGCCCACTCAACATGCCACAGGTTCCTTGCAGCCGTTGCCATGTCCAGCACGAGCTTTCGATCGTGTCTGAATCGACCTTTACGGTCCGCTTCCCTATACTTCGAGTAGCAACCGCTGGGCCATTGTCGCTATCGACCACCTAACGCGGTACGCTGAAACAGCTGCGTTACCTTCTGCTACCGCAAAAGACGTTGCGTGTTTTATACTGCAAAACCTGGTTTTAAGGCATGGAGCACCTCGGGAGTTACTAAGCGACCGCGGCCGCGTTTTTCTCTCCGATGCCATCAAAGCGTTGTTAAACGAGTGTCGCATCATACACCGCACTACCACAGCCTGTCACCCGCAAACTAATGGGATGACAGAGCGTTTTAATCGTACACTTGGGGATATGCTGGCCAAGTACGCTTCATCCGACCAGTCAAATTGGGATAGCATACTGCCTTTTGTGACGTATGCTTACAACACTACAACGCAAAGCACCACTGGATTTTCGCCTTTCTTCCTTCTTTATGGACGCGAGCCATCATCAACAATGGATACCATTCTTCCTTATCGACCGGACCCTTCAGAGATTACTACCGTTTCTCGAGCAGCAGCACACGCTGAAGAATGTCGGAAGCTTGCTCGTGCGTTCACGTCACATGACCAGACGCGCCAAAAACATCGCCACGACGCGTCAACCACGCATATGAGCTTTTCTCCGAACTCACTGGTGTGGCTATGGATTCCTTCTACTACTCCAGGACTCTCCCACAAGCTTTCGTCCAGGTACCATGGCCCTTATCGAGTTGTGCGCCAAACATCCCCTGTCAACTACCTTGTCGAGCCGCTGGATGCATCTCCGGACAAGCGCCGTCGGGGAAAAGAAATCGTACACATCTCTCGGCTCAAGCCATACCATGACCCTTCTGTCTACACCTGTCCTTAGGTCGCCAGGATGGCTCCCTCATCGGCCGCGGGGTGATTGTAACGAGGGTAGTGGGCATGGAGCTCGAGGATAGAAAAGGAAGAAGACTTGCTGTGATCGCAGGCTTGCGTTCAGTTAGCCCTTGCGCTAAATAAAGCTCTCCTTCGCCGAGTCAACTCCTGCTTGTTCAACAACCCGTTACACTTATATAATTTCTTATACATATTTCCTTATATATATGTTCTTATATATTTTCCTTTGTGCCGAATGACAACGTGCTTGCCTTTTAGGCTATTTAGAAGTGTTGTACGCAAGCAAGTATTGATTGCACCACCTATAGCAGCATGACCACTGCTGTGGAATGCTGTAGCTTCATGGATGCACTCGCATCTACATGGTACAACTGAATGTTCTATATTTGTTCTAGAGCGAAGTTCTTAGGCTGTCATTTCTGCATTGAGCAGTGTCACCGTTGGTGTTGTCGCCGTCAATGTAATTGATAGAGCGAACGAGGACGAAAAAGAGAGAACACCGAGTCCGTAGATTTCATAGGCCAATAGCCTCTAACTTCACTTTCTTTCTTCCTCTATCAAGCACGCCAATCTCTCAGTAGGGGCCCCTACTCATGCAGGGACGGTACTTGCACTGCATCTGGCTTTGCTTGTCTTAAATGTGCTGTCCGCATTTCATTTGATTCGGGGTGCTTGAACTGCACTGTATGGTGTGCGTAGCGCTCGAGCGCTGAAAGTTTCTAAGGCAGTATGTAACGATTGTTACATTGCTACAACCACGGAGAGCGAGAACCTCAAACCATAGTGATGTTGCTCCTACACCAAGTAGCGCTCAGAGTTTGCCTTAAGGACGATCGTGATCTTCAGTTTTTTTTTCATATGTAAAACACCTAGTCAGGTATTGACGTCAGAAGTGAACAAGTGCGATGAGTGCTTGGGTCTCTGATGGCTCTGAAGACTACAATATACCCGCGGAGCATACAGAACGCCACACTTCTTCTTTCATCTCAAATAGGACAGCGTGTTTTGGGAAAGACAGCTCCCACGCAAAATACACAAATCATATGTCATAGGCACTGCTCCGAAAGCCACCAAATAAGGACTGCGATTCCGGTTTACCATGCATGGAAACAGAAATGCCATTCCTTTAGACTCGACGGCGAAAGGCGTCTTCTTCCTATTTTGTCTGGATCATGACATTGAACTTCCAAGTATCCTCCAAACACTTTAGGCAACAAACGTAACTTTGTAATGCATTCAGGATGCAATACAATTCATTAGGATCATTAGAACTTCCTCAATGAGTAGATGAAATTAAGAACAGGACTTCATAAAAGGTATTATAGTGCCGCACTTCGTCACCTGTACTACCAATGGCATGTTATCTATTTCGCACTGGTGTTTTTTTTTTTTAATTTCAAAAACACCAACATTTGTTTCACAATGCCTCGTCCATCCACCAACGCGCATGACGTGAACGAATATATTCCGATAATGTTGTGCATAGAACAGACGCTTCACTCAAAGTCAGATACCACGTAACTGAACCTCCCTGAGTTAGTTTAAAGAGCTTTTTAACATAGTGTTAGCTGCACTGCCCCGCCGCAGTGGTCTAGTGGCTAAGGTACTCGGCTGCCGACCCGCAGGTCGCGGGTTCAAATCCCGGCTGCGGCGGCTTCATTTCCGATGGAGGCGGAAATGTTGTAGGCCCGCGTGCTCAGATTTGGGTGCACGTTAAAGAACCCCAGAAGGTCGAAATTTCCGGAGCCCTCCACTACGGCGTCTGTCATAATTATACGGTGGTTTTGGGACGTTAAAGCCCACATATCAATCAACCAATCGTGTTAGGTCACTGGGGCAATGTCGCACGACTAACTTCATAAAGCACATAAATAAGGAACGAGAGTAAATACTGGCCTAATACTTTTACTTCAGCCCAAATACTGGTCTAATATGTTAATTATGGCCTGTGCACTGGACTACTATGTTGACGAAATACGTTGGGTGCACGAAAAGACGATGGAGAGCAGAGCTAAGTTTTGGAATAAGGGAGTATTACGTACTGCTGTGATACAGACAATATTATTTCAGAAACTACTTATATGCGTTGCATAGGCAATGTAATTCTTGCCATGTATAGATATTGTAAGTGCCATTCTAGCGCACCTTTGTACAGCGGTTAAATAGCCCCCTGCCACACCTGCACGGATCGAAAAGTGCGCGCCTGCAGCTGTGCACACTTGAAAGCGTAGGCAGGTGCAGAGACAGAAGAAGGAGAACGAACACAAAGCCTAGGTCGAGTGCAAACCACTGCTGAGCAGACCATGCTACGAAGGTTTACGATGAGTGTCGCCCATCTTCAGCAACTTTTGTTTGACTTTCTTTTAGGCTCTCCGAGGAGTCTGTGATACTTATTGCCGATTTGGTAACACTACCCCTGCTTTCACTAGATGCGAGGCCTTGACACGGCTTGCGTAGGCTGACGACGCCACAAAGCAGCGCTCATCTTGTTAGTTCGTGGCGTGAAGAAATATGTATCATAGACGTGTGCAGTAACATAATAAACAGAATATTATGCACATGAAAGCTCCTAACTTATGGAGAAACATAATAAAGAAAATAAACATGTGCAAGAACATGTGCATGTCATTTCGCGAATAGATATTCATCTATGAATAGTGTAACCCCCATATGTCCTGATTTAAATTTACGAAGATATTCACCACAGTTTCTGTAATGAAAAAAAATGCTGTTGGGATGTAAAAACAGTGTTAATCGAATTATGATTCATTACTTATGATCTAAACCTGCTCAATATTTTTATTGTAGCATATTTCACAGTACTTCTTTACGATAACAACTTTGACAACAATAGCCGAATTTCCACCGTACACCTTTCAACGGACGTTAAGGCACAGCCTGAACAATGCAATCTTCTTTTTCGTCCATGCCCTCTTTCTATGAATGTGTAAAGTGCGTGCGCTCGATGCTGCATGATTCCAGGAAATGATGACGTGAACCTCACGCTGCCTTTTCATCGACCTGATATAGTAAGGCTTCGATGGTGCGCCCACTTTTTTTACTCATCATTGAAGCCATATGCAATCCGCACCTTATAAAACAGTAACATTTCGCGCATGTTTCACAAGTGCGCAGTGGAAATGGTGGCAGCACATTTGCTGCGGTTAAGCTTACAATATTTATAATTTTTTACTGCTAGTCGTGTCCAAATATATGAGTTCACTAAATACTTACGGGTACTTTCCGCGAAGATAAGCTTGTTATCGCATCTTCTGTGGCTACTTTTGTGCTGCTGTAATTCTGACAGTTTCCCGATTCACTTTTTCAGCGCAATCTAGGAGGCAATGTTTTGAGCGCAACAAACGTTATCATTTTTTTTTTCAAAATGAAAATATGAGGCAGCGTCTCAAGAAGACACATCAATAAAATACTTGACTGAAAAAGTCTATTGTCGTGCCTAAAATACACAAAAATTCTTTCTCGTTTTTGTGGAAATAAAGTAACAAAGCATGCCTAGAGACAACGAAGGCACCTTTTTTGGCAGAGAGCACAATACACCAAAATAATGAACAATTGGTGCTGTGGTGGAACAAAGCATTCCAATTGTCACCCAGAAAAAGTACACAGAAAGCTGCAGTTAAAAAAAAGTGTTCTCTAATGTCGTGAGACAAACAGACGCCTAACAATGGCCCAAGGTTGGGTTTGACATTCTGGAAGAATGAAGCCAAAATGCTTGTGTGTTTTCCTGGTGTGCTTGGTAGGCGTACAAGGTAAGGTTCTGAAAAAGCTTAAATTTCTATGTAATAACACACCCAGAATTGTAAATATTTAATAGAGAAGGGTGCATTCACCCCTGCCAATGGAAAATGAGAATCAGTGAAATCTTCCTGTAACAATTCTATCTCCAAATGCTAGGGGACTTGTTTTCTATATTTATTCACTTTGAAATATGTACGCATTTTTCATTGGCTATTATCTTTTAATGTAAAGTGTTAGCTATATATTCAGCAAGCACACGTTAGGTATGCTTTTCTCAAGGCATTGTCATTCAACAAGCCATATTGAGGCGCGTCGCTGCATTGGTTCTCACACTGAAACTTCTCTCGCACGCCTCTCAATCTTCTCGCCCTTCTATTCTTACTAGCGGGAAGGCCATCTCAGATGGCTGAGCAAAACTGCCAACTTTACAGAAGTACAACTTGGAACTCATGTTCCGTTCTCTTAACGCAGCAGCTGTCTAATGGCGTTGAGAGAAACACAACTGTCATGTTCCAAGCTTTTGTTGATCGGTACAAACTTTTAAGAGGCATACATCCCTTGAGAACACAACAGCCTTCTATTGTTCTCGCATGATATATTATGGGGGGTGGTGTTTTGGTTTTAATAAGCACATTTCACGTTTACTTCACTGGCAAGAATACGATGCGGAAACATACGCGCAGGTATGATTTTCAATTGCTTAATGTCGATCGGTACAAACCACTGTTCTCACGAACCTATTTATCTATAAATAAATAAATAGTAAATAATAATAATAAATAAATAATAAAGAATATATATATATATATATATATATATATATATATATATATATATATATATATATATATATGTATATATATATATATATATATATATATATATATATATATATATCTGTATGTATATATATCCATTTCCGATGGAGGCGGAAACGTTGTAGGCCCGTGTGCTCAGATTTGAGCGCACGTTAAAGAACCCCAGGTGGTCAAAATTTCCGGAGCCCTCCACTACGGCGTCTCTCATAATCATATGGTGGTTTTGGGACGTTAAACCCCACACATCTATCTATCTATCTATCTATCTATCTATCTATCTATCTATCTATCTATCTATCTATCTATCTATCTATCTATCTATCTATCTATCTATCTATCTATGTATATATATCCATTTTGGTTAGAGTTCCCTTCGAAGTATTGTGTATCATGATATTTGTATTTAAAGTTTAACACATGCCCAGCACGCGCTACCATTGCCCTATAAATCTGGTGCCATGACCCTTTCATTGCAATAAAATGTCTAACAATAGCCATATGATAGTTATTTTTGAAATACGCCTCAGCATGAAGTACCGTGCCTGAAATCTGTGGAGACACGCCTATAAATAATATCAGTGCGCACTAGCGAAAATGCCTGCAACCTAGTGGCTACGTTGGTTTTTTTTCTGTATCGGTGTTATGGCAGTGGTGGTTATTATTACGCGTGTATTTTTCATTTCAGCTGCTTGGTGGAATGTATGGCCTAAATGCTGGAAACGCAAAGCCGTCGGTCACTGTTCTCAGAAGATACCATCGTGGTACTACAGTTTCTGGAGTGGCAATTGCAAAGGTTTCCTATACAGTGGCTGCGGCGGAAACTCAAATCGATTCAGTTCGGAAGGGGAATGCCAAAAAGCGTGCACACGTAAGTACCATCTTCTGATATCCATTACATAGTTATTTTTGTACACATTCTTCTGAAAAAATGAGAGTGCAGTTTTGATATGCTGTCTTAGCAAAGTACAATTGAAGACAAGGGTAACGTCCATTATTAAGCACGTAGCGCTTTTAGAAGCCTGTTTTCTCGTCTATCTATAGATTTTATGTGGCGGGATTTCGCTCCATTTAAGGAGGTAAATATGCGCTTGAAACAATTCTAAAATGCTAAAAACTGGATTAAACTAAATGAAGATTGCCTAAAGTAATATAGGTGCAGAAATTATCAAGACGTAATCGCAACAATCGCCACGAGATTGCTAAACACACTTAAAGAACGGTGTCGCGACCACCGACGTTGCGCGAGAGGGCGCCACCACCCAACGAAGTGCACAGTTGCTCCACCTAGCAGCGGTTCTCCGGCGCTCTATCAAGGCGCGCCGTTTCGCATCAGCCACTGGTAAGACAGTGTCGGCTCTTGTCGAATACCAAGGCGAGAGCTACCGAGCACCTGCCGTTCGACAAGCTTGACAGGCTAAGCGACGACACAAAAACCCGGGCAACGTCAAAGCTTAGACCTCTGTGGTTTGTAAGCGCAGTTAAGCCACTGATCAACTCAAAGTCAAATAAGCGTAAGGCTGATGTCTACAGCACCAGACCATTACAACTGCGGGGCGTGAGAGGGAGGCCACCACGAAATGCGCACAGTACCAGAACCACTCATCCACCATCACGTGCGCAAACACACCACAAAGATTGTATTACACCATTTAATCACCGTCCCACATTAGCACACAGAGCGTAGTACATAGAGTAAAAACCTCACATTGCCACAATTACACATTAGAAAGACAACGCTAAAAGCACCATTAACAATTGCAACTAAATAATAAGAACGAAATGAATGGTCATGGGTTCGTGTGCCACGCACACTCTCAGATATCACACTATATAGTGGACCTAAATATACTCATTTATCGAATGATCGTGCAGTTGCAGTAAAAAAAAACTTTCCTATTTGTAGTTTGTAGGCTAGCTTTGCTGTGAAATATAATTCAGACGAAGAACCTGAAATAACATTGCCCCTCAAGCTACTCGATTACATTGCCTGGTTCATCGAGGCTGTATGAACACGCTGCAGTTGCATAAGCGCTTGATGCACTTAGACATAGAGAGTACAGAGAAGAGTTTTGGTGAAGCGAAGAAGTTGCATGAATGAAACATGTCTTTTGTGTTTCGAATGACGAACATGGCGGATGGCCGTGACACATGCATTTCCATGGGCTCTCCTGCGACAATGCGTAGTACCAACGCCTTCTATAGTTCTTTTTTTAATTGATGTGATGTGATGAGGTGTTGGCGCGCAAATAGAGCGCCGGCTACTCTTTCTCGCCTAAAGGTGCGTAATAACAATGTTCATGGAATGTCTGTCTCCAAGCGTAGCAAGTTCACAGCTTATACATATACAATTTAGCATAAAAGTTTTTTCATTGGCAGTGCAGACACGTGCTGCCCAACGGAAGCCATCTGTTCACCTTAGTTTGGAGAATGGTCGTGATGCCATGCCACATGTAGGGTAGGACCACTTGCGTCACGCGTGCGTCTGAAGGCTTGACCACGGAGATGTGATAGATGCGTTTTCCTCTTCAATATCGTACGATTGCCAGATGATTTATTTGGTGCTCCTTCTTTGTGGCTCAAAGCAATGCCACCTCCTCAAAGCACTCTTAAGTCGGTGCATGTGCAGCATCGACGCTTCCCTATTGGTTGCCCGCATAGCGTCACGAGCGGCCACATGGTATCTCAAAACACCGCATATAATACAGAGCCAGCGTGACGGCCAACACTGTAAATATTAGGAATGCAAGACGCCGCCCCACGGATCTGTTGATTGAACCGAAAACTACTGTATATGACTTTCATCGTGAGGCACCACAAAGGCGGTTCTCTCGACCATAATTGCAAAGCAGCAAAGGCTAGGCGGTGGGCGATAGCAGAAAAGGGCTAAAGGACAGGGTGGTGAACGGCTGGATTGGGTGCATCCAGGTAGAGTTTAAAGAATAGATGAGGCGCTGGTAAAGCACAACCATGGAGTAACATAAACACGCAAGAGTGGTCACTCCTGTGAAATGCGAAAGAGCTACGCAGCTTCACGCCAACCGCAGGAAGGTAAGACATCACTCACTGTATTTAAGGAAACGCGCGTACTGGTTATCTACTGCAGTACCTTTTCTAGTGCTTTATACATCGATGTGTCTTTGTGACTTCAATTGTGTGTTTTAACATCACGCATTGAGGCTCGGAATCTGTATTTATCACCTGCAATTGAACAGTTTGATATTGTCGGGCAGGACCTGGCATGAATCAGATGCGAGATAAGTGCGCATGGCGTCTATATGACTGCTATTTTGTCACTCTCCGTGTTGATGAGCATTCAAAGCAGTGAAAAAGCACAGACAACAGCAGGGAGACACGTTAAAAGATGTGCAATAACGTTGCCGACATGCGTCATGGCCTTTGCTCGCATCGCCTGCATCGCTCCTTGTCTGCTGATTGTTCACTTCTTGTATTATTCTCGTAAATTGTTTAATTTCACACACACACACACACACACACACACACACACGCACACGCACACACACACACACACACACACACACACACACACACACACACACACACACACACACACACACACACACAAAGAACTGTTCAAACTGCTGCGCAGTACCTTGGCGAGGAAATAGTTTCTTGGCTCAAGAAAGAGAGCTGCCGCTCGCATTGTTAGTTTTCCTTTGTACTGGTATTATATGTACTCGAATTCATTGTATGCGTAAGATAAGGTGCAGTTATGCTTAGTATCGTTGTAACGAGTGCAATAAGAGAGAAGTGGCGATTCAAGACAAATGTTTGTTAGGTAAAGCTATGGCGTAATTTTCTGAATAAACACTGCTGCCTCGTTAACAGATTGCGTGGTACCCGAACTTGCTTTGTTTTAGCTGCGGTGATTGCTTGTGACTGTTTTTTTTGCAAAATAGCTATGTAAAACAGATAGATGAATATTTGTGCGAAGATGGCAACGAATACGTAGCTACCATGCCGTCTGAGGTCGAGTTTTGCGGCAACAACCGAATTGTTGCGTTGCGCACTGTAGGTCTAGGTTTGAGCGTTTAGTCCCGTTTTACTTTGCTGCGAGTCTTTTTGTAATGTCTCCTTTTGTGTTTATCTATTCTGTAAATTTATACTAATGAAATGACAGCTGGCTTGCCGCGTCTTCCAGTGCAATGAACCTATTTCCTCCTACCCGCGTTCATCTAACATTGAGAAGGAAAGTGGGCAGGTGCTCACCAACATTATGACTTCAAAATAAAAGTTTTCGCTCTTCCAAGACCGTTCTCCCGTTTTATTGAAAACGCGTGCGAAGACACACAATGGCCTCTTGTTCTTGTCGCTTTGGTGGTGCACTTTACGCGAAGGTAATCGATGCAAGTTCACTACTCGTCAAAAAAATAAAAAAATAAAGTATTGCCTCAGAGACGAGCACACACACAGAAGTGGTCTCGGAGGATGCGTAATTCTCGTAATCGCTAAAAAATGGCTTTCAGAAAATTCTGCAGCCCCCTGATCTGTGGCTGCAAAGTTTCCGTACGCCTGTTTCTTGAGTTGCGAACCGAAATCAGCCGTTGGGGCTTATGGGGGACTCCTCTCTTAACTTTTTATATATTGCTTTATGGTACAAGAGCTGGCATTTCACCTTGAAGTAGTCCAACAGCAGAGCTATACGGCGTGCAAGTTGGCGGCCGGGCGTTACTCCCCGATACCGGGAAAATAATTGTTCAAAAAGTGGTGCCACTGCTTCCGAAGAATGGCGGGCTTTACGGTCATAGGCAAAAACTTCAGTGGTTGGCGCAGGCTCATTGCTTCAGCGATCGGTAACTTCACCACTCTTCGCTGATTGTTGTATTCGCCGACATACACTGCCGCATGACTCCGAAGAGCCACAGAACCAAGGAGTAATAAAACCTCCCCGTACACCACGCAGCTCTTTATAATTTATTCGCAATTGCTATATATTAAGATGCATATATCAGTTGACATGATAGGCCACGTGTGAAGAATCATTTAGGTGCGTATGCTATGATTCTAAGTTACGTAAGCACCGCAAAGTCACCCTAGCTACATGAACGCAATAATTTGCTTGCGGGTTTTTGTGTGGCATGGCAACCACCATGTGTTCGCCATGCTCGAGGACATTTGATCTAAGTTTTGGAACGCAGCCTGTGTTAAAAAAAACAGCAACATAACCTCCGTATACATTCGCAGCAGCATTCAAAAAGAGTCCCTTGTACTTCAAGTTCAGGTGTATGTTTAAGGCCCAAGGGTAGTGCAATTAATCCTAAGTTTTTTTATAACAACATTCATATTTGCATGTTTAAAGCCCAAGGGTAGTGCAATTATTCCTAAGTTTGTCATAACGATGTTCATATTATGGGACCAATGTTTATTCAGGGTGTCCCACGTAACTTGAGCCACAGTTTAAAAATATGCCGGAACACGTAATTACAACACGACGAAACGCATGTTGCTCACCGTTGCCTGGAGTTTGTTTAAAGTATTGTTTAATTAGATATGTTAATAGGTGACCGGTAATATGGGCAATTGCAGGCAACTGTGGGATACGACGGCTTCTGGTTCGACGCACCACGCGGGTTAGCAGCGGCACGCACGTATTCTTGTATCGCTCCTTTGAAAAAAAGCACCTCTCCGTGTAATGTCAGTGCTTTAGAAGTTGTTTTTTTTTTGTTTTTGCCAACCATGACTGTGACGATGACAAGCAAGGAAAGCCATGAATGGCAAGTGAATGTTTTATCGCACTAAAATGATCTGCAATGCTTTTATGTTGCTTGATGGTATTGTGAGTTTGGCTAGCAGATCAGTCGATACTTTCATTGTATGGTCCGTTACTGCAGATAAAAAAAAATTGCCATTTTAAAGGTCTCAGGGGATGGGGATGACTGTAGCAGTGTGCTAAGAGTACATTTCGGTATCGTTGCTTCGTCCGACATGGTCAGTAAATCGGCATAAAGCGCACTGCTTATTTTTATCTCATTTTATTTTATTTACTTATAGAATATTGCAGATCGAAAGTCTAAACAGGGTGAGCAAAATACTAACAATATTAGAAAACAAATTTGGAAAGTGTTTTTTAGAAAATGATTTTGTTTGTAAGATGAAAAAAAAAGAACAGTTTGGTCTTAATACAATTATGAGGAAGTAACAAAACAACAGTATTTGCACAAATAGTCACGGGCGTTCGGGCAATGTTTACATTAGTTTATTTCAATCAGCTATAGTTTGTAAGAAAAAGGCGCAGCGAAAAGTGTCAGTCCTTGCGAAGATTGGCGTTAAAGAATGAGGATAGTGTTGCTTAACAAAGGGAAAACGTACGCCGCGGTGTTCAAGAATAGCTTGCGGTTTAACATGTCGGAAAGAAACTCTAGACGACATTGTTTTCTCCGTGTTTGTAATAATTCAATACTACTTGCAGTTAGCAATGCAGTGGGGGAGTGGGTTGCCTTAACTGTACTATAAACAAACTGTACGACTTTCCTTTGAATTCTTTCTAGGTTTTGAATATTAATTTTTGTGCGCGTTGAGATATGTTATTTTTCTAGCTTTCAGCGCGCTATAAGATGCATTGATTAGTCGAAGCCAAGTGCTTATTTGAACGCTGATCTTGATTAAGCGGCGCGGCACAGCGGCACATAAACAATACAGTCAGACATAGACGGCACCGAACATTCAAAACTCTGAGCTTGTTTAACAGACGTCTTTCTTCGGGTGCCGTCCTGGCGCACAGATGACCAAGATAAACGCAAATGGACTCGTCTAGCGTTTAGTTTAAACTTACTCTTGAGTGAAGCTTTCGAGTTTTTTGTCACATATATGGGTGCAAAGGCCGGCGCTCATCTCGTATGGCAGGTAGATTTCGCCCGCACATTCCCTTATCTTTGCTATAGGCACGCCTGAGCGACAATTCATTTATCAATGTAACATTCGCAGCAAATTCACGCGTAAGCTTTTTTTTTTAGTGCGGAACACACACGTACGTGTGATAAAATGGTTTTTGCACACCCTGGCTTCAGCGTTCCGTACTCAAAGGCTACATGTCGCTGTGGCTCTCTTCACAGCCGCGGTCCACCTCATTTTCTTTCTTCATTACATGAGAATTTATACGTGCGTTTGCCTTTCACGCTCGAGTTGGAGCAGCCAACAGCTGAACTATCTACAATGGTTTATCAGGACGATGATAAACGGGCAACCGCGCGCACGAATCCTGAATAATCTGAGGCTTGCGGCCAAGTGGTTCGCCATCGTCTACTCTTTTCGAACCAAAGACCGGTAGCAGACGGGGCATCCCACCATCCTTCGCTCTTTTACTGGTCATCTATTAAATAACTTATCAAAAAACGAAGATAGACTAAAAATTCAATCGAAAAGTGTAGATCGGTTTTAAAAAGCGTTCGACTAGACAGTTTTGAACTTTATATTTGTTAGCTATTAGTGTTTTTCTGCTTGTTACAAATTCTGCAAAATACACCAGAAATACCACGTGACAAGTTCACTCGTGCGCCAGTGTGCCCAATGAGTCTAGCGCACCCTAACGTTCCGCGTACGAACGACCATAGCATTTGCCCCATTGTGCTTTCTCGGTAGGGCCGCAACGAAGGTGGTGGCCTTACGATGAACCTGTTTTGCTATCGGCCACAAAACGATAACCGCTGTGACTGCTTATCGCTGTCATGAACCGGTGCGAGAGAAGCGTGTCGTTCGTACGTGAAACGTTAGGGAGCACTATAATCATTGTGCGCAGTGATGCGCGAGTGGGTTTGTCACGTGGTATTTTTTCGTATTACGAGGGCATTTGCAATTAGCAGAAAAACACTAATACCTAACAGATATAAAGTTCAAAACTGTCTACTCGGGCGTTTTGCAAACCGATCTACAACTTTCTCATTGAAATTCTTTATCTACCTTCGTTTATTGAAAAGTTAGTTAATTAAACATACCTAATTAAACAATATTTGAGAACACAAATATAGTCTAACTCCGAGCAACAATGAGTAACACGCATTTGGTCAGGTCGTAATTACGTGTTCTGGCATAATTTAAAACTCTAGCTCAAATTACGTAGGATACCCTGTATGTGGTTAATTCACTAACAAGAGGATTCAAGGTTCGCGCCAGGTTCACAACTTTTCGCATGCGCTCTGCATAAGCCTATACCATAGACTACGACATAAATGGGCTATTTTGAGAATCGCCCGTACAATGCTAACACCCATAACAAGAGCCGTACAAGGGGCCAGAGGGTTTCGTCTTTACATGTGACAGCCGCCAGTTGTTAAGTCTGTCGAATGCCTTCTGAGTGCAGTTAACTTGTGCTTGATCAATATGCGTACTAGTCTTAGATGTATTATTGTCACTTCGGCAAAAACTGCGCACTGATTGCACGTCGGTGTATTTTCAACGTGATAGTGCTATATAACTCTTTCACAGCAATGCCCGTGTTGGACTCACTGGCAGTGACAAAAATCAGCTTTTGCTTACCGAGAAGTCACAATCAATACAAACAAATATATACCAGGAAACCTTATTTTTGTGCAATATAAAACCTGGTTCCTGCTTGTCAAGCAGGAGTTCTACCACCGGGTAACGTCATTACTTGGAAGTGCCTCAGAAAAAAAAAAAAAAAACTCCATGCGAACGTCACGCATGCATTGTTGCGTGGTAAGAAAGAAGACATTATTTACCGATTGGGTCGGAAGTTTCGTCTTGATAGCCTCAGGTGATATCTCGGAGCTCCTGGACTGAAGCGACATGTTCGGGCTGCTGAATGGCACAGAGATGGCCCTTTAGCTTCGAACTTCAGAAGGCCGCCTCCCAGTGGCAGCGGTGCCAGCGAAGAAGGACCAATGTGGCTACTGCAGCCAAATGAGCTCGAGGCTTTCTTTGTTCTGGCCATGCTGGCCGGTATAGGCACATTTCGGGAGGCAATGTTTTTACGACTTGTCACCCACACAATTGCTCAGCACGTGGCTAAGTGTTATTCCGTACCCGAACGCTTTCCATATATCGGTGGTGTATATGTTAGGGTAGCAGTGGCCTAAGATTGTCGGTCTATTGTATGAGTAGGTTTGGAGTAAGCGAAAGCTTCTGGCATCAGGCCTGTTTAACTTACAGTGCGATGGCGCGAATTTAGGGCTTTGCAGCCAGCCTATAGGGTCGAGTAGTTTCTCGGAACGTTGTGAGCCGATCACCCTACGACCATTGTGATCCCCGTGGCTGCATGCCTGTCGAAAGGTCTCGGAGAAGCTTGGAATCTGACAAGCGTGAAGGTATTGGAAATGTGAGGGTCAGGGGTTCAAATGCCCGCAGATTGCAAAGAATAGATATTTGAACATTGGAGTCGTTTGAATAGTGTAGTGTAGTATAGTGTAGCAACGGGGCGGGACGAGGAAGTGAGAGCCAGGACAAAATATGTGAGGTTGAGCACGAGGAAAAAAGGGAGTGCAGAAAGTAAAGGATAGCATATGCAGAATAATAAAAAGACGTAAAGTGAAAAAAAAAAGAGAACGATCCCCAAAAGAGAGACATAAATCAAGAGAAAACAAGAAAGAACCAGAACAAAAGAAAAGCATAGGCAAGCATCAATTATAAGGAGAGTAAATGGAGCAAGATAAGAAACAAGGATGAGAAAAAAATAAAGAAGAAATTAGTGAAGATAAAGAAATGAACAGAAATAAACAGAGACAACACAAGTGATTCAAATACCATGAGAAAAAAAAAGAAAAATAAAGGAGAACAAAACTGAAGGGAAATCAAGAAGGCTTTTAAAATATGCCTTTCCTTCAGTCATGGTGCCACTGGGGGGAAGCTGCCTTTAATTTGTTGTACAGTACCAATATGAACATCCTCAACAATGCGAGCAGCTGTGTAGGTGAATGGGTTGCCTTACGGACGCATGTTGGATACTTGATGATTCGAATATGTAGTGAGGTGCGCAAGCATGCTGCTGATGTACTTCTCATAGCCTTTGCAGCACTGCAAGAAAGTCGCAAGGTGAAGTGACAGTCGTAGAAAGGCAAACAGAGTCTCAAATCAAACGAAGCTTGGAAAGTGCGTTTTCTCTTTCGTCACCGTTCATCTTTCTATCACAGGTCGTCACAAAAATCGGGAAGTCTGCAGCTTGAAGGCCAAACCCGGAGTTTGCCAAGGTTTTCGTCCATCGTGGTATTACGATGCTGCGCAAGATCGTTGCCGTGGATTTATTTACAGTGGATGTAATGGGAATGCGAACAGATTTCAAAGCTGCGAGAAGTGCATGAGACGGTGCAGTGGTAAGTTAGTGAAATTGTTATTGAAAGTCCTGATCAAAATCTTTCTTGGTTTTTTGCTATGGAAATGTATTGTTCTCGATATTGCTTTGCATTGAGAAAGTACGTGTGGGAGAGCCATGCTAAATAAGGTCAGACACAATTGGTTTCTTTATCTAAATATGATCATCAAGAAAAAGAAAGGCCAGAAGAAAACAATCCTATCTCTTATCAACGAAGAGTAGAGCCTATGCACTCGGCGTTTTCAGTGAACTGTGCTTTGCAGTAGGAGATGCGTTATTGCATTTGATTTTTCACACGAAATTAACGTATTGTGAAGCATCACCCCACGTCCAGAACTAATGTTCTCTGATATGTATAAGTAGTACACTTAACCGAGCAGAAGCAAGTGGCGAATATATGATTTCATTACAAGCTCTGAATATGCCGCAAAAGTAGGCTGATCCCTAATCAGCTGAAAATTTGCCGAAGACCACTTGGGCGGAAGTGCAACGCTACAGTTGCACAAGGGCGAATATGATTTACTTTCTGGTAAAAAGAAGCGTGGTAGTGGTCTGGTGACACTGGCTGGGCTTCGAACTACACCAGACGTGGCCTCGCAATATCCCGCTCGTTTGCGGCTTCCGACAGTCTGGTACAGTTGAAAAGTTAAAGTACCAGTTTGCTTGTATAGTGCGCTAGAGTAACGAGAAAGTGACAATCAACACCTATGAGACTAGTCATCATGACATTTCCAGGCTCTCTCATTAAGACCTGCGCTTCTTCTACTTAAACTTTCTTAATTATTCTCGTGGATAGATGGAACACATTGGCTTTCAATGAACCACACACAATGAAAAAAAAAAGAAAATCACAGTTAACTAACCAGAGTTCCTAGGAATGAAGCAATGTGGAAAGTATCAGGAAAATTCACCTTAAAATCGGCCAATCCTCTCCATTGAGTACCAGCTTTGGGCAGAGGAAAACAACAACAACAACAAAAGGGAAGGTGCGTGCTGGCGTAGCATCGTACAAGAATAGAAAGAATACTTCCCATTCCGTTGCGCGAAACGTTGAACCTTTCCCCAACGGTTGATATAAGAACTAGTATTTTCCTCCATATCACTGATGTTGGTTCGCAGAAACTAATACGAGGGAGTTGAAAATATTGTTGCCATTGCACACTTTAGCCCCAGTGAAAAGGGAAATACAATTTCGCAATTCTTCCTTTTCAGCCTAGCTCTACTTCTCAACATGGCATGTAATCGTGATCTGAGCTCCGTCATTGTTTCTTTGAAAGTGGAGCAGAACATTAACAAGACAAAAAGAGAGGCGCATGCACGGTGTCCTGAGGTTGGCTGCATTGTGAATTTTAAATGGGAAGCATTTCTTAGCGAACTTCGGCGACTTTGAGCGTATCTATCTATCTATCTATCTATCTATCTATCTATCTATCTATCTATCTATCTATCTATCTATCTATCTATCTATCTATCTATCTATCTATCTATCTATCATCTATCTATCTATCTACTATCTATCTATCTGTCTGTCTGTCTGTCTGTCTGTCTGTCTGTCTGTCTGTCTGTCTGTCTGTCTGTCTGTCTGTCTGTCTGTCTGTCTGTATATATATAGCCGCCTATGACTCTCCTGGCTGTTCGATAATGGTATCAATACCAAACTTGGTCTGGCATAGCATGAGTGTATGAAGAATATATTTGACTAGCCATAACATGAAAAACATGACATGTATGTCATAAATGTCATGACTTACATTTGATGGCCCTGCAGCTCTTGCGGTCGTTTCATTCCATGCCATGTTGCAAAACTGGTGTGGTATGGCATGATTGCATAGCGAACACAAGTGACAGACCCTAACATGAAAATCATGACGTGCGCGCCATGTAACAACATGACTACATGCCACGCTCATCACGCGCTCGCGGCCATTTCGCTAGTGTAACATTTACCAAATTTGGTATTACAGTATGTGAATGGATGACGAAAGTAAGTGACTGGAGCAAAAATGATAATTGTGAGATTCGTGTCATGTAACAACATGACTACATGCCACGCTCATGGTGCGCTGGCGGCTGCTTCGCTAGCTTCACTTATACCAAATTTGGTATTACGGTACACGAATAGATAACGAAGGTATGGCACTGGTGCAAACATGATAAACATGAGATGCTTGTCATGTAACAACAAGACTATATGCTACGCTCATGATGCGCTCGTGGCCGTTTCGCTAGCTTCACATGTACCAAATTTGGTATTACGCGACGCGAGCGGACGACATAGGTAAGTGACACATCCAACATGATAATCACGACATCCAAACATGATAATCACATGACACATCACATGACACATGACACATGGCACATCCAAACATGATAATCATGAGATGCGTCTCATGTGGGAACATGACTACATGCCACAGTCAAGGTGCCATATATTTCGACGCGACGTGGTGCGCGTACTTGCCGGTGTCATTTCGTCGCGTCACCCCTGCGTTGCCATGCTAGGTGCCGGTTCTGCCATATACTCGCAGGCGCGCGCCGCCCTGCGTTGCTTTGACGCATGCGTGTTTCATCACGTGCGTCGTCCCTCCGTTACGAAAAGAGAGACGCAGTGTTGTCTGTGTAACGCATCGGCGCGAAACGCAGCATGTCGAATTTCGCGCCGGTTGCCGTCGGGCCGTGCCGATGAACGCTGGTCGAGCCTGGCCTCATACTATAGAGTGCTCGCGTTTGGCTAACGTAGCGTCACTGTGTCCAGCGTGCGGGTGCGTCAGCAGTATATTGGGCCCTTCATGATGCGCCAAAGTTGGTGTTATACCAAATTTGAAGTTACGTGACGCCAATGGATGACGAAATATGTGAGTGGCGCAAACATGATAATCCTTACACACGTGTGATGTAAGAACATCACAACATACCACGCTCGTAGCGTGCTAGCGGTCATTTCGCTAGCTCATATATACCTAATTTGTTATCACGTGACGTAATTAGATGACGAAGGTAAATAACACATCCAAACATGATAATCATGACACGGAAGTCATGTACGGCATCATTTACCTCTACCTCGTAACCTTGTGCTGATTTTAAAAGTGACACTTCAACATTTCTCATTCGTGCTTCGCATATCATCAATTCCCACTGTACATGGGATCTGACAATATTTGTACACATCAGCGTCGCCGTCGACGGGAAGCTACCGCAGAGACAAAGGAGAAGACAGCGGATGCAAAGCGGCGATGGCGACAACAAAGTTCTACACCACAGACTAGGGCTAAGGAAGCAAAGGCTAAGCGGGAAAAACGCCAAGCTGATGCGCAGTTGAGACAACTTGAAGCGGATGCAAGGCGGCATACCGACAAGAAAATTCTACACCAGAGACGACAGCTAAGGAAGCTGTGATTATGAAGTCAAAACGTAACCCGGAACTCGGAACCTCATATCAGCTCTAAAGAATAATCACCGCTGTATCACAATCAGTCTCAGCACTATCTCTTGAATAAAAAATATATAAGTATCGCAGCCACAGTCAGTCTCAGTACTATCTCAACTTTAATCACAATAATCACCTCCGAAAGCTTCGCCCCATGATTATCTTCAAGCAGCTTCGAATGCAGTGATTTTCTTAAACATCGCTCGACATAAAGACAATGAGCTGAAAAAACCTTGCTTACGAAAACGTGTGCATGCAGCTGTTTGAATTATCCCTTCAATATCTTATGCACCACATCAAATGCATTCAATCTTCAATAGAAACACAAAGTATTTTATTCTAGTTTCAGAGAAACTTCTTCAAGTTACTACTCCTCGAAACAACAACTAAATCTCTATTGACGTTATCTTATGGGCATATTCAGCCCAGCCTGTTCGTTACTGTCCTACCGTGAGGATTCATTATTACATTTTGCAAAAATTTCAGACATGAAAAGTTTTCTATTTACACTACGATGGAATCTCTTGAAAACCCAGTTATATCATTCCGCGAGTACCGTGTGTTACTGTTGTATGTGTCGCAGATGTGTGACGCTGAGGGCGTCGCTCCTTATTATCGCGCTGTGACACACGCTTTTGAGTTGTACCAAATAGGAAGTTTTTCTGCATGCCCTTAGGCAGCCCGTCAGAAGCTAGTCCCAATACGGAGCCTCAGATTGGAGGCCTCAGACCGGGAAAAGGAGGAGCCATTTTCAAACAACCCACACAAATTATGTATTTATCGCACACGGGAAAAAGAGAAAAAAAAAATTGGCCGCGTATCTGCATGTAATCTGCAAATGTCGTCGAAAGACGACAATCTTGCGAGGGGAGAGAGTGAACAAAACATTTATTTGATGTTCTGCGCAAGAAACTCGGTGAATGGTATTCCGGAGGCACTGCGTTAGGCCGCGTTCAAAACTGAGCATTCCGGCCGCCGAAAGTGCCCTGAATCCGGTTCGGCGGTGGTGAGATCCGCCGAAAGGGCCCCCCCGCGCCGATCGCTCTCGGACCGATTTTTTGCGGCGTCTGCCGCCGAATCGGTCACCGCTGACCAATAGAAGCGCTAGTCAAGGAATTTTGAAAAATGGCGGCCAAGCCCTACTCACTTGTTATGCCGCAGTGCACGTAACTGAATGTTGAAACCAACGGGAGTTTAACCTACTCTGTGCCTACTTCGCCTCCGTATTTCGTGGAAGAGGTGACCGAGCTTGCTGTTGGCGTGACCGAGCTTGTTGCGGTCTTGCAGAGCAAAACAAACCCACCAACGCCGCTGGCGTCGGTGGTTTTTCTGCTCTTCGTGCATTACAAGACAGCCACTTGCCAGCAAAGTAAGCAGTACTGTCTTTTCTTGCTTCTTGCGTACGAGAATCGTCGAAGTATACACCACCGGATAGCGTAGTAGCGTTTGCGAGCCGCGACAACAACCGGGTGACAGCGCATCCATCCCGCGTTCGCCCCGTAGTAGATGGCATATTCGGCGGCGCGGGGCGCGTCCTGTGCGAACGACGCTGCGTTTCGGCGGCAGGAGAATTTCGGTCGCTGTAGAAAGCTGATGTTTCAGTGTGAACTAGGCATTAGAGTGCCTCGAGCATGCAGCGAAGGCGAACAAGCGCATCAAGTCACGTCACACGTGAGACATTTAGCGTCATCTGGCAGTTGCTTTTAGAAAACAAAGCGCATGGCCGTGCGCACCCGTCTCAGAAGTGATGAGGTGCAGAACGCGAGGCGACGGGTAGGTGCCACCACCATCTTGTCTTAGCAAAGCGTTGGAAACATTCCCCGTTCCGTGCTAGCGTTGCATGGTAAGCGCAGCGTGATAAGCGCTACGGCCCTTAAAATTACTTATGTATGCGTTTTCTAGTAAGAGATGGATATGCAAAATATATGCGTGTTGCTATGGTGCCCCAGACATGCGCAATAATTGCTTTTTAATTGAGCATTGCACGAGCATGAACGCTCAACCTTGAGTAACATTGGTGGTCGCTGCGGATGGGGACGGTCGTTTCAAGTACCCGATGCCGGTAAAAGTGGACAAACAGACAAATGTACCGACAGGCAGACAGAGCAAAATTTTTTGTGTCGAAGGTCCCCAAGAAAGACTATCGTCTTTAAAAATACAAGCAACCGGAAGAAATAGTGCAGGTAAGCTCAAAACAATGCTACTTCAACCAGTATCACAAGTTTAATGAAACTTCAGTTGAGAGTTCCAAAGGAAGAAACAGTCGTCGGTTTTTGCGATGCTTGCGGTGGCGGGGCGGCGTAGCCGTTGCGTACGCGTTGAGTCGGCGGCACGAGTACGCCTGGGGCGGACGAGAAGGCAGAAACTCTGAGACCCCACTGACTGAAGTGTCTAGACAGCGCCGCTCGGTGACGTCTTTGCCCACGTACGACGCATGGAGGCTGGCAGCAGGCCCTTGGTCGGTACGGGCGAAGCAAACGGCAGCAGGTACCGCAGGTGCCAGGGTTTCTGCTGTGGCTGCGCTGAGCATGCAACGCTTGCACGAAAAGGCAAATGTTTCCAACGCATTGCCAAGACGACACGGTGGTGGCACCTACCCGATGCCTTGCGTTCCACACCTTATAACATCTGAGACGGGCGCGCACGCCCATCTCAGAGCGGTACACTTCGTTTTCCAAAATACCTGCCAGATAGCGCTCATATCTCACGTGTGACGTGACTTGATGCACTCGTTCGCCTCCGCTGCACGCTCGAGGCACTCTAACGCAGCGCCTCCTGAATACCATTCACCAATGTTTTTGCGCAGAACATCAAATAAACGTTTTGTTCACTCTCTGCAGACGCAATACTATCGTCTTTCGACGACATTTGCAGATTGGCATGCAGATATGGGGCCAATTCTTCTTTTGGAAGGTTCAACAGAAGCCTCATTAATCTTGTGAAGCCGGTTGCAGTAGCGTTGTTGTGAGCTTACCTGAACTATTTCTTCCAGTTTCGCGTATTTTCCCCGCTCTCTCTTATTCCCGTGGGTGTTAAACTTATATTTTTATGGGTTATTTTTTTCTGTGAAAGATAAAGCTATATTTTTTATGGGTTGCTTGAAAATGGCTCCACACTTTGCCGGTCCGAGGTCTCGTCTCAAGTGAAACTATATGCACAACACAAAACCTTTATTACAGGCTGTGCAGCCCATACTAATACCTGTAGAGGTTACCTAATTAACAGCAACAAAAAAAGCACAACCACGTGACAGGGTTTTGTTGTAACAATAACAAATAGCAAGCCATGCGGAGAAAAGGCTGATTTCAAACGAGATCTGCTAAATGTACATATGCTGAAACGGAGGCGCAGGCTGATGCACTGTAAGAGTAATAGCTTGACAATTGTCACGCTTCGTCCAGACTTTAGGACAAAATCACTGTCCAACGTGCCTGAGGTAAGAAATGAACACCCTTGGCTGCAGTACAACGAAGTATTCTGAATGATTTATTTCTCAATACGTACAATACAATGGACTGGATTGTGTAATATTTATCAAAGCAATATTTATGTAGACTTGTAACGTTCAACTGCATAAGCTCAATATTTCGAAAAATAGCTTTTTGCAGTATTACTATGTGAAAAGAAATGCCACAATATTGGTTGTCTCTCTAAATTGCTTCCTGTTATATAATTAGCCTTGTCCGATAGACAATGACCTCATGGCGCTGTTGGTGTGCGACGAATGGAGTAGAGAGGCACATTGACCCACGCACATAGATTGCACTGCTTGTAAAGTTTCATTCTGACTCGAGGCCCACAAGAAAGCCAACAACACTTAGGTGGTCCGTCGTGCACGAGTTTCATGTAAGATGTATTGCCGCCTTCATAGGCTACCTAGTCGATGCGTATCACCTGCGTTCACACAGAACGTGTATAAAGCTTTCTGGAAAGTTACAGTAAATGCAGAAAGAAATGGCCGACATAAGTAGGCACGCAATTTCTAGCTCGGTTTTGATACAATCGTTTCATATATGGCAACGGATGACTAATATCACTGCCAATAGGCTGGTCGCTGCTCTGTGGTACAGTTATGGTCTATGCTCGGCAAACTATTTTTCGTTTGTTTGAGCGTATTTATATTTTTCAGTGAAGTGAGAAGCCCGGCAGTGTTGACGTACCAGTAGGCGACGTTGCCATGGTCATAAAGTTAATAAAGCACTTTATCTCAAAATGTTCCTTTCTTTTAAACTTGCAGGCAACAAGGACGTAAAGAAGATATGTGAAAAATGGACAGATGCTTTTCGGAGAAAGTACAGCTTAGGCCTACAACCAAGCCGCAACACATCCTTACGCACTTTAGCAAATATATTTCGATGGCGAAGATGAAGTCACGGAATGAAGCTAAAACGCAATTAAAAATATTGAAGGACATTCGTCTAAAATAACACAGTTCGAGCTTTTCAGTGGTTTGACTCTGAGCTCTGGTCTGCGAGAACGTGCATTTGCGTACTGTACGTACAAAAGCACAAATAACGATATGAAATGTATTATGACACAAGGAACAGAAATGAGGTTCTCTGCAGAATAATAATCGTTGGGGGCAATGTAGGCGCTGGTGCGACACCTGGCCGACGATACAAAGTGACGACGTGCGAAAATATGGCTTTGCGCCGCTAGACATAGCGAAAACTTTATTGCACATAAAGAGTTTTATAACAAACGCAGTTGGTGTAACCAATTTACTTTCAAGACATTGGGTGCTACGCACATAGCTCTATTTTGCTGTTTTGCGGGTTGGGCACCACTCATATACACACAAAAGTATGTAGTCATTGCGCGTGCCTAGAAGCAGCAATTCGTAACAGCACAGCCATGTCAGCTAATTGGGAACAGTATGTGTTATAATAGTGATATAGGTTGCGCTGTACGGCGTGGCTTGACAGCACTTCCCGTCATCGCCAATACTCGGCTGTCATTTTGTCACCACGCAAGAATTCACGGGTTTCAGAAATATGAAAAACTAGCCAGATCTCACGCACCACGGGAATCGATGTTATGCGAAGCATGCAGAGGGTAGGTGAGTGCCTTGTACTTCTTTTATCGAGCGAAACACTATGCAAGAATGCGAACTATATTGTCACGCGCTAAGAGCTCGAACAAACGTACAAAGAGACGCGACTATCCAAAACCTCAGAGACAAAGAAGGACGTCTCCGCTGGCACGGGTTGCTCGTCTTCGTCTTCCTCGTTCACCGGCACAGAACTGACCCACTGTTCACTGGCACAGAACACCAGTTGGCATTACTCCTCCTCCCAAGAGAGCATCGACCCGATGCTCAAACAAAAGTGTGCACAGCAGTGGGTCGAAGTAGGTAACATAAAGAAACATTAAACAAATTAGTGCACGAGAGAAAATACGTCCTGGGCCCGGCAATCGGAAATAAACGGCATTCACTGTTCACATGAAGAGTTCACTGGCACAAGAAGAAAATTCGCATCACCGCGTAAAGCATGGTTTTAGGCGGACTACGTGTACAGTCTCTGGGCGTGGTAACCTGCGCTGGGATGATGGCAAGCCTCCGTCTGGAACCACTTCGTAGTTCACGTCGCTCACACGTCTGAGTACTTTGTAAGGTCCAAAGTACTTCCTCAAGAGTTTCTTACTGAGACCTCGCCGCCTAATGGGTGTCGAAACCCAAACTTGGTCACCAGGTTCATAATTAACTTCTCGATGGTGGGTGTTGTACCGCCGTGCATCTGCGCACTGTTGAGTTCGGATGTGCACACGGGCCAGTTGACGTGCTTCCTCAGCGCGCTGAATGTACTCATTGATGTCGGGGGCTAATTGGTCGAGCTTGTCGATGTCCTCATATGGAATCATGGCGTCCAGCATAGTTCTAACATCTCGACCATAAACGAGCCGGAATGGTGTGAAGCGTGTAGTTTCCTGCGTTGCCGTGTTATACGCAAATGTTACGTACGGCAGGATGTCGTCCCAGGTTTTGTGCTGCACATCCACGTACATAGAGATCATGTCAGCTAGCGTTTTGTTTAGCCTTTCTGTTAAACCATTACTCTGAGGGTGATACGCAGTGGTCTTTGTATGGGTTGTGTAACTCAACCTGAATATATCATCCAAGAGTTTCGCTGTAAATGTTGTGCCTTGATCAGTGATGACATGTGACGGGGCGCCATGCCGTAGCACAATTTGATGCATAAAAAAACTGGCAACTTCAGATGCGGTCCCTCGTGGCAACGCCTTCGTCTCAGCATAACGCGTCAAATAATCGGTTGCGACAATAATCTATTTGTTGCCAGAAGAAGACAAAGGAAACGGGCCTAGGAGGTCCATCCCCACTTGTTCAAGCGGTGTACGTGGTGCATCGATCGGTTGTAGATGGCCTGCAGGCTTTAAATGTGGTGTCTTGCGACGCTGGCATTCACGGCATCCCTTCACGTAGCGTTTGACACAGGCAGACATTTTAGGCCACTAGTAGAGTTGTCGCACCCGATCCATAGTTCTCGAGTAGCCCAGATAGCCAGATGTGGGCTCGTCGTGGCAAGCTAATAAGACGTCATCGCGGAGGACTTCAGGCACGACGAGAAGATGAGATCTGTCACCAGCACTGGCGTTTCTTTTGTATAAGACGTCATTTTGTAGGCAAAATGATGGCAACGTTCGCAGCATCGGACGAGAAATGGGCGCAATGCCACCTTCTAAATGATCTAACACCATTCTTAGATTGGCGTCATTTCGTTGATGCGACATCAGATCCGGTCCGCTGACAGTTGCCACGAAGGCGCCGTCCTCTTCTGCGCTAGTACTGGCGGATTGAAGAGGTGCTCGTGATAGCGTTTCGGCGTCTTCGTGCTTTTTGCCTGACTTGTACACGATGGTGACATCAAATTCCTGAAGGCGCAGACTCCATCGTGCTAATCTTCCTGAAGGGTCTCGTAGATTGGTCAAGCAGCACAAAGCATGATTGTCAGTCACCACTTTAAATGGTCTTTCATAGAGATATGGCCTAAACTTTGTAATTGCCCAAATGACCGCGAGACATTCTCTTTTGTGGAATAGTTAGATTCTGCGCAAGACAGTGTGCGACTTGCGTAGCCTATCACCCGTTCAATGCCATCTTGTCTTTGCACCAAAATAGCTCCAAGACCAATATTGCTGGCATAAGTGCGTACTTCAGTGTCAGCATCTTCATCGAAGTGGCCGAGCACGGGAGGGGAAGAGAGCTGGTGCTGTAGTTCCGTAAAGGCAGTCTGCTGTTCGTCAGCCCTAACAAATGGTGTGTCATCACGCGTGAGGCGTAATAGTGGCTCCGCAATGTTAGAGAAATTTTCAATAAAGCGCCGGTAATAAGCGCACAGACCCAGAAATCGTCGAAGACTTTTCTTGTCAGTTGGAGGTGGAAAAGCGGTGACAGCAGCAGTTTTGTCAGGATCAGGCCGAACACCAACGGCGCTCACGACATTACCAAGAAACTTTAATTCTTCGTAGCCGAAATGACATTTCTCAGGCTTGAGTGTGAGATCAGCCGATCTAATAGCTTCGAGCACATTCCGAAGGCGACGAAGATGCTCGTCAAAAGTTTCTGAAAACACAACGACATCATCGAGGTAGACGAGATAGCTTTTCTACTTGAGGTCTGCCAGGACGATGTCCATCATTCGCTGGAATGTGGCTGGAGCGGAACAAAGGCCGAAAGGGAGCACTTTGAATTCATAAAGGCCATCCGGCGTTACAAAAGCGGTCTTTTCCCGGTCACGTTCATCGACCTCTATTTGCCAATAACCGCTCTTCAAGTCGACGGACGAAAAATACTTCGCGCGTCGCAGCTTGTCCAGAGAATCATCGACTATGGGCAACGGGTACACGTCTTTCTTTGTGACATTGTTCAACTTTCTGTAGTCGACACAAAAGCGAAGCGTGCCATCTTTCTTTTTCACAAGAACGACTGGTGATAACCAAGGGCTGCTTGAAGGCTGTATCACGCCATCCTGAAGCATTTCCTTAACTTGCGTTTGAATCGCGTGCCGTTCGGTTGGCGAAACACGGTAAGGCTGCTGCCGTATGGGGTGCACGTCGTCGTAGGTGATAATACGGTGTTTCGTTATCGGTGTTTGACGTATCTTTGAAGAACGTGCAAAGCATGTGTGGAACTCCAGCAACAGCTCGCTCAAACGCTGCTTGTTCGCTTCAGAAAGCGTTTGATTGATGTCGACGCTGCGGAAAGGCGCTTCAGCAGTGCCGATGGCCTCGGAAGCAAAACACTCTGTGGCATTGCCGACTGGGTCGGCGTAGGCGATGACAGTTCAAGGAAAAAGGTGCCGGTGCTCGTAGCTGAAGTTTGTGACAAAAACGTTGCAGTGATCATCACGAAGGTCGACAAGGCTTCTCGCTACGCAGACACCCTGAGACAGCAAAAGCGAGTGATTGCTTTCTACGACTGCTTCATCGTGCATCACTCCGTCCCACGCCACCTGAATCACAACAGTTGCACGGGGTAGTAACGTGACAGCGTCGTCGACGACGCGAAGAGACACTCGGGAGTGGCTGGGGTCGGCGTAAACTGTTGGGGCGTTTGTGGTCGCGAAAGTGACTAGACGTCGTCGAATGTCAATTATAGCACCATGCTCCCTGAGTAAATCTATGCCAATGATCAGGTCTCGAGAACACTGCCGGAGAACGCTCAAACTGGAAACAAATGTACAACCGCGGACTTGCAGTCTTGCCGTGCACATACCGAGTGGCGTGACGATGTGCCCGCCAGCTGTACGAATCGGCGTTCGGTTCCAAGGCGTCGTTACTTTCTTGAGAAGGGCGGCCAGCTTTTCGCTAATTATGGAATAATCCGCACCAGTGTCCACTAAGGCGCTGACTTCGCGACCATCTAGCAGAACAGGAATATCTAAGGAAACTCTTCCGCAGTCAGCCGGTGGTGTCGTTGTCGATGTATCGTCGGTATCTTCAGTCCGCGTCGATAGGGGGTCTTGAGCATGACCAGTCTGAGTGGCCTTGCCCCTCAAGTTCGCTGAGGCTAGTTTTCCCGACGCGGGCTAGGTGAGCGGCCCTGCGCCATGCCCGCATAGGTGCGATGATTCGGCGGGAACCGCTGCGGTGATGGAGAGCGTGAGTAATGCCGAGATGTCGATCCGCGCTGCTGAGCAACGTAGTCAGTGATTTCCGGAGGCCGCTGGCCGAACTTAGGAGGTGGGGAGTTGGCCGAAAAACCACGAAGTCCCAGCTCTCGATAAGTGCACTGTCGGTAGATGTGCCCAGGTTCACCACAATGATAGCAAAGAGGACGTCGATCGGGGGCCCGCGACACTTCCGATTTTCGCGGAATCGGTCGGCGGTCACTGAGGTACGGGCCCGCT